ATGACAGTTCTTTAGCCTCTTCCTATTCCTCTCTGCTCCTATCCTTTCTAGTTTCTAGCAATCATAATTCTGTTTTATGAGATTAACAGGTTAACTTCCACATATAAGCGAGAATGTATGCTATTTGTCTCTGTGCCTGCATTTTCATCCATGTTCCTAAAAATAGGGTTTCATTCTTTTAAAAATGGTTATTCATTCTATCTATCTATCTATCTCTATCTATCTATCTATCTATCTATCTATCTATCTATCTATCTATCTTTGTCCATTCATTCACTGATGGGAACCTTGGTTGATCTCATATCTTGGCTATTGTCAGTGGTGCTGCAATAAACATGAGAGTGCAGGTATCTCTTTGATATATTGAGTTCTTTTCCTTGGTGTATACCCAGGAGTGGCTGGTGTTATGGCTTGGATCTAGATGTCCCTAAAGCCTGATGTTCTCATAGGTGGGGCTTTTGGGAGGGAACTGGATTATGGGAGTGTAATATTGGATTAGTCCTCTGATGAATTTATAGCTAACTGTGATGTTGGAAGCTGGAAGTATCTCCTTCTGTCCTCCTTTGCTGTCTCTTTGTTTCCCACTACCCTGCCATGGACTGTTTCTCCTCTGCCAGGTCCCTCTGCTATGCTGCCCTGCCTTGGAGCCAGCCAACTATGGTCTGAAACATCTATAAACTATGAGCCAAAATGAACTCTCTTCTCTGCAGTTGTGGGTGTTGGGTATTGTGTATCAGCATTGAGAAAGTGACTAAGACAGCTGGATTATGTGGGGGGTCTATTGTTAGGTTTTTTCGGCACAAGGCATTGAACTCAGGACCTTGCACTTGCAAGGCAGGCGCAGTGCCACTGAACTAAATCCCGGCCCTATTGTTAGTTTTTTGCGGATCCACTGACAACCTCCTTTCTCCTCATACTTGCCAGCATTTGGTATTTGTCATTTTGGTAGCAGCTATTCTGACTGGGATGAGATGACGTGTTACTGTGGTTTTGATCTGTATTTCCCTCGTGCATAGTGCTATGGAGCATTTTTCATATACTTGTTGCCCAATTATTTGTCTTCTGTTAAGTTTTGAGGTACTGGGGATTGAACCCAGAGCCTCACATACCCTAAGCAAGCACTCTACCACTGAGCTACATCTCAGCTCTTTTTTATTTTTGTTTTTATTTTCAGACAGGTTCTCTCTAAGTTGCCTAAGTAGGCTACAAACTTGCATTTCTCCTGCCTCAGTCTTCCAAGTAACTGGAATTACAGGAATGTACCATTATGGCCAGCTGTTAAGTATTTTAAAAGATGTGCTCCACACCATTCATAATAGGAGATACACAAATTTAAATAACACTTAAATTCCATTATTCACATATCAGTAGGCAATAATTTAATCCAGATATCTGATAAAACACTGGGTTAGCACAGTATTACTTTATACTAATGTTGAATATTAATTGGTGTAAAATCTGTGGAGGGCAGTTTGGAAATATCTATCAAAATTTGAAATGCACAGGTGCATGTGATGCATGCCTACAGTAATCTCAGCACTTTGGAGTCTGAGGCAGGAGAATCACTGCAAGTTTAAGACCAACTTGCACAACATAGAGAGTTCAAGGTCAGCCTGAACTATGTAGTGAGACCATGTCTCAAAAAACATATTTTTAAGGGCTGGGGATTTAGCTCACTGGTACTATGTCTGCCTCACAAGCATGAGTCCTGAGTTCAATCCCTGGCACCACAAAATAATAATGATAATGATAATAGTAATAATAATAATAATGTTTTTTGAAATGCACATCTTTTTTGATGCTACAACTTAATAAAGAGTTTCATTTGAAGACTTAACTGGGCATATACAAAATTATAAATGTATACACACACACAGTGTTATTGTACTTTAAAGACTGTATCATAAAATGAGAACCAAGACCTGTCATGTAGAGGTACAAGAACCTAATAATGAATGTGACTGTACTGTATACCTAAAATATACCAATAAAAATAAAAAAAAACTATCATAGATCAAAATGACATTGTCCACCAGTAGTGGACTACTGTATCTCACTCACGTATCCATGCCATGAAGCATTGTATAGATGTAAAAAAAAAGAATTAAACAAAACACTCTGATATAGGAGAATCTTTGACATATTATTAGGAAGAAAGTCCCAAAGAAGATGCCTACACCAGGCATCCAAGCACATGCTTGGAATTATATTAAAATTATATTATTATAATCATATTAAATTATATATTACATAATATATTATATAATTTATTGTATTATATATTATACAATATATTATATTATATGCATAACACAATATATATTATATATTATTATATATTAATTGTATTACAATTATATTTTAAAAAGACACATGATACACATTTGTATCTGTTTATATCAAAGTACCTGGAAGAAAACATGAGAAACTAGCAACAGTGGCTTCCTGTTTGAAGAAGAGATGGGAAGAATTGTATACATGCCTTTTTTTTTTTTTTTGACACCTGATATTGAACTCAGGTGCTTGTGCTTGCAAGGCAGTCCACTGAACCACTGAGCTAAATCCCTGGCCCTACATGCCTTTTTATTATTTTTGCTTTTTAAGCATATGATGCATTAGTATTTTTTAAAGTCAGAAACATTTGAATAATTTGGCCTTACGCGCACACACACACTCACACACATCCTCACTCACATACTTTGCTATTTTGTGATTTGTGGGGCATTATAGTATAAAGTTGATAAATCTCTAGTAAATGTCCAATAAGTTCTCTGCTCTGTGTGTGGGAAGAGGGCCACATTGGAGCATAAAGTTCCTCTGTATAATTCCTGGTTATTTAATCAGAGCGGCACCGGAAGATGCTGTGCCCAGTCTGTGTGGTGTAAAGGTGGACCGGGCTGCCTTGGGAGCACCAAGTTCCCATTGCTAGACTTCTTCCAGCGCACGTGGCACTGTCTGACGGGGAGATTGTAGAAAGGGTAACAACTTTACGTCATTTCCTCCATTCCAGTCTGATATCCTGTAATTCCAAGAAAAAAATGAAGTAAATACCATGCATTTTATCCTAAGTAATACATTTTTTTTTGGAAAAAATCCTAGCGCTGTATGCATTTTATAAACTCGTTTGGGGGTTACAGAGGACTAAAGTGGTGGGAGGAGAGACAGGAAATGACATCCCTGGGGCTGGAGCAGGCAGTGGGGGAGGAGGAGCCCAGGCCCAAGGACATGAAGATGTTCGTGTCAAGCCAAATAGCCCTAGTAGATGAGGGTGGGTTGTGGAGCAGTTTTCAGTATTTTGCTCGCAGAGGAGAGCAGAGCACAACAATCACTTTCCAGAATACCACGCAGTGTGCAGATGGGAAGCAATTTTTAAGGAAATGGCTAGGAATTGTTGAAATTGATTTTCAGATCATCCTTGTTTGTTTGGCTGGTGAAACACCTGGCAGCTTATGCTTTCAAGCATTCTCATTTAAAGTCCACGTTAGCTGACGTTCATACCTAGCTGTATATATACCGTCTCATATGGTAGAAGATACTCAGTAAATGTTTGCTGAGAATAGTGCTGGACAAAGTGCCGTGCGTTGAGGAGAGCTTGGGAAGACGACACAGGGAGTACGGCAAATGAGGGATCAGTAGCCCTTCCCCCACTTCTTTCCTTTTCCCTTTGCATCCTTTCCTTGTCCGTCTTGTAAAGCTACGTCTGTAGGCCTTCTGTGAGGACTGAGTGGTCTATGAAGAAATAGTGCGCTGGTGGTGCTCAAAATTTTAAGAAGCTTCCCCTAGGCCTGGGGATTTATCTCAGTGATGCTGACACCTGCCTCACAAGCGCAAGGTCCTGAGTTTGATGCCTGGTACCAAAAAAAAAAAAAAGCGTCCCACAGATGTAAGTATTATTACCTCCTATTGTGCTGTCCGTATAAGGGAGGTAACGGTGAGCTTTGTAATGCTGTGGGGTAAGCTGCTGGTCAGTTATTAAAGTTACCGAGGTACAGTTACACCCCAGGTACATTCATGAGGGAGAAGTAGTGAGGAAATAAAATTTTGAGAGGTTATGGAGTTGTTAACAGTATCATGGTTAATTTTATGTGTTAACTTGGCTGGACCATCACTTTTGGGTAGTTGGTCACACATTATTCTAGACATTTCTATGAGGGTGTTTTTTTGGATGACATTAACATTGAAATGGGCAGATTTTGAGTAAAGCAGGTTACTATTCAAAAATATGGGTTGACTTCATCCAATCCCGTGAGGTCTGTAATAGAACAAAGACTGACAGACCTGGAGGTAGAAGAAATTCTACCAGCTGAGGGCCTTTAAACTTGACCTGAAAGTGATGTTTCCCGGGTCTCTGTCTGCTGGCCCACCCTGCACATTTTAGACTTCCCAGCCTCCTTAATCATGTACACCAATTCTTTCCAGAGCTCTCTTTCTGTATATACACATACATTCATTCTGTTTATTCTGTTTCTTGGAGGACACTGACTAACACATTAACTATGTTCATTGTTTGAAAAGTCATCTGAAATTATGTGGTATTTTTAAATATTTAATTCTGTTTTATGAGATATCTATTTTTTGTTTGTTTCTTTGTTTTTTTTTGTTTTTTTGAAACAGGGTCTTGCTATGTTGTTCAGACTGGCCTTGAACTCACTGTGTATCCCAGGCTGGCCTCAGACTTGTGGAGATCCTCCTGCCTCAGCCTCCTAGATGCTAGGATTATAAGTGTGCTCTACCACTCCTGGGTCTATGAGCTATCTGAGTTTCAGTTCTTTACCTGTAGAACAAGAGAGATATGGTGGAAATTGTGTCACCACTAGAATCCATTTTCCCTATCCTATGGGGACATTATGCTACCTTTCCTAGCCTCCTCCACACGAGTGTGCTTCAAAAGAGTGTTACTGGAAGGATGTATGGTACTTCTGGGCCTGTATCTTAAAGTGGTAGGTGTATTTTATCTGTGTCATTGTCCTCTTTCTGCCTGGGATGGATCTTGGCCAAAGTGTCTGAGGGAATGCTGGAGCTACACATCAGAAGAAACCAGACTCCCTGAAAGACTGTGTGGATCAGAACTATGCCCCTTATCTGGACCAGTCACCTCAACACCATCATGTGAGTGAGAAATAAAAGTATTTGCTCTTTAAGCCATTGTGTAGTTAATTACTTTGTTAAAGCAGCCTAGTTTGTGCCTAACTAAGCCAGGATGATCTCAGCAACTGTTTTACCTCCTTTTTTTTTTTTTTTTTTTTGGTATCAGGACTGAACTCAGGTCCTTGCACTTGTGAGGCAGGCAGTGGAACCACTGAGCTAAATCCCTGACGCTTCTTGGGGTTTTTGTAAGGTTAAGACGAAAGGAAATTGCAACTATCTGCACAGATGTCTGTAATACCACCTTTACTTGATTGTCCAACATGAAGCTTTCCCAGGTCTCTATAAAATGGGTACAATAGACTCTAATATCAGGGGAGAAAAATGCTTCTTTGGGGTAAAGAGTCATGGAAGATCTGTGCGTAGTGGCACATGCCTGTAATCCCAGTTACTCAGAAGGCTGAGGAAGGAGGATGCAAGCTGGAGTCAGCCTAGGTAACTTTGAAAGAGCCCCTTTGGTTTAATAAATATGAAAGGTTCCTCAGAGGCGCATGTGCAAAGAACCTGATCCCCGGTGTAGCAGTGTTCAGAAATGCGGCCTAAATAAAGAGAACTTTAAGAAATAGGGTGTAGAGAAGTGATTGGATCATGGGATGCTCTCTCCTCTTCACTGGGTGCCGTTAGGAAGTGGGTCCCGTTGGAGTGAGCGGTCACTGGACTTTGAGGGTTATATCCTGTCCCCAGCCTCTTCAGAGGAATCTCTGGCTCTTCCTGCTATTCATATTTCATGGCTGCCTCGAGGTGGGCAGCTCTCCCCTGCCGTGTCCTGCTACCTTGGAGCTAGCCCACTGTGGACTAAAATGTCTGAACCTTGAGCCAAAATAACCCATTTTTCCTTTAGTTGTGTGTTACCCCAGTAACAGAAAGCCAGCTAACACAGACCCCATCTCAAAATAAAGAGGGCTGGGGATGTAGCTCAGTGGTAGAGTGCTAATCTAGTAGGGACTAGGTTCTAAGTTCAGTCCTCAGTACTGCAGAAAGAATTGTATAATAAATACAGAAAAGCTAGCATTTTTATTACCACCAATGGTGCTTAATCATATTTAGGAACAAAGAACTAATGTAAACAGTAGGAAATGAGTGGCTAATGAAAGCAAATGACATATTAGATAAGCTTAATTTTGTAGCCATGTCACAAGCTGTGGCAAATCCCTGAAGTATCCATGTGAGCTACAATACATTAGATGTCATTAGTTGTCTAGACTTCGCCAGAAAACTAGTTTAGAGTGACAGGATTTATGGTTTCATATTCCTCTGAGGGCACAAAATTGACAAAATTACATTAGTCCGGTGAAAGACAAGCTTGAACTCTCAGCTGATTCTTGCTTTACACAAAAACATTTCCATATCCAAAGTATAACATGTAATAAGTTACTGTAGGGAGGCTTCATAATGCAGCAACTCTACAGCTGAAGTAGACGTGAACAGACATGCGGGGGTGGGGGGAGAAAGACAATGATTGGCTACTTTAGGTAGCCATGCCTGGGAGTCTTGTGCAATTCTGTGAATGAGAAAATGGAATATGTCTTGTCCTTTCCTATGTACAGAGCCAGGTCTGACGTGCCAGAGGAAGTGGCTTATTACCCATTTGGAAAGCAATATTTTCACAGCCTCGCTAACACTGCTTTGATTTGGTTATCAAAACTTAACTACTGGAAATGGAAAACCATGAATAGTTCCATTAGGACAAATCTCCATTAGGAAAAGCCCCAGGAGGTACTTTCAGATGAGAAGTTCAGTGCCGTGGACTGAAATCATCTGGGATGGAGTCTGGAATGACTAGAAGGGACAGCCTGGAAAACAGCACATGAAAATGTACAATTTGCAACAGTGCGTGTTTCAAGAGACTCAATACCAGCTACCCTAAGTAAGCAGGTTCTCAGGGCACGACTATTTTCTTCTGACACTGGCAGCTGCTTCTCCCAGCAGTGGCTTAAAAGAAAACTAACAGGAGTCATTTTGGCAAGAAAAAGGGATCATCTTAGGTGCTTAATGAAAGAAATAATCTAAACTTGTTTGTAATAAGTAAATATTAGTGGTTTAGGGAACACTTGGGAATTTTCTTCATAGTAATAAATGTCAAAGAGAAATGTTTCTCTTTTATTATTAGAGCTTAGACAAATTTATCCAAATACAAAGCTGTCTTTGCCCAATGAGAAAGAGAAAAAAAAAAAAAACTAAACGAAGTGAGTAATTAAACAGGGAAGGTAAAAAAATTGAAACTGTATTTTACATATGGCTCATGAATTCTCTTTGGGTTGAAGAGGATTAACTGTTATGAGGATTTCATACTGTGAGGAGTTGATGGATTTGTGACAGGAGGGGGGGCAATGTACAGCTCATTCGACATCTCCAGTTTCTTATTCAGCATCTCTCCTGCTGAAGATGATGGGACAGGGAATAGCATTAAACCAGTACTGAGTCTCACAACTCTGTAGGGAGAGTTACGAAGACTGGGACAAGGTATGCTTTCATTTGGTTTTGTTTGAGATGATGTCATGTGTGTACATCTGCGTCATTGTATTAGAGTTTTTCACAGAACTAAAACCTACAGGAGATGTCTGCCTACCCACCTACCCGCCTACCTGCCTACCTTACCTACCTTTCTATCCGTGTGAAGTGGCTTGGTGATTATGGAAGCTGAGAAGTCTCAAACGTCTACAGCCACAAGCTAAAGGCCCCAGAGAGCTGGTGGTGCAGTCCCAGTCTGAGCCTGCGAAGGCTGGTGGTATAAATTCCAGTCTGAGTTGAAGTCTAAAGGCAGTCAAGGTCCCAGTTTAGTGACCATTAGGTAAAGAGCTAATCCTCCTTTATTTTACATTTTGTTCTGTTCTGGCCTTCAACAAATTGGAAGAGCCCCACTCACAGAAGGGAGGGCAACTTGTTTTACTCATTTTAACCATTCAAATGTTAATCCACCCAGAAACACCCTCACGGACACACCCAGAGTAATGTTTATCCACATTCATGGGCATTCTCTTGCTAGCAAGATGACCCTGAAAATTAACCTCACAGCTGGGCATGATGCTGAGTGCCTGTAATCCCAGGACTCAGGAGGCCGAGGCAGGAACAGGAGCAACATGAGTTCCAGGCCAGCCTGGACTATGTAGTGGATTCAAGGCCAGCCTGGAATACATAGCAAGACTGTCTCAAAAATAAACCAACAAACAAATAAATAAAGGTAAAAAAAACCATCACAGACATATTATGCAAATATTGAATTTAGTGTAATCTTAGGAACTTATCACCTGTCTTAATGATCACAAAATATTGAAGATAAGTAACTTAATTAGATGTCTTGTAGGCAGTTAGACAGGGCTGCCCTGAAGTAGCCAACATGGAGGATAGTCAAGACACATTCACTGAAGGCCGGAATTGTAAAAGGAGAGAAACTACTACACCTGTGCTTCCCCTGGGGATGAATAGCAGCGATTGATATTCTAAATAGGTATCAATCACGTGGGGGGCCAAGGCCTTAACCCAGCCTTTCCAGGAAATATCCCTGACCCCCACCCTTACTGAAAATCCCTGTATGCTTGCTGCGGGACTTGTTCCCCATTTGACCCCCATTCAATCTATTACCTGGGTGACTGTACTTGTAATCTTATTGGTTGGTCAGGGTTTTGCCCCACCTCATGCCCACCTTGTAATCTTCCATCGGGTCTTACAGTTTTGTCCCACTTTGTACCCGCCTCACCACATGGCTTGGCTGTATAAAACATCTTGGAGAAGTGGGGTGGGCGGGCATCCCATTTTCTGGTTCCCCTTCTGTCTCTCTTAGACAATAGCTTTCTTTCCCTCAATAAATTCTTCCTACCTTCAACCTCTGTTGTTCCTAGAATTCATTCTTTGATTTTAGAGAACACGACCTTGTGTTTCAGATATCTAGCAGGTTTGGGAGTTACATCTCTTCCCCCGATATCAACAGGACCTTCAGATCCCACTGCACCCCCTAACAATACCAGTTTGTGAAAATAGCATTAGAAAGAAAGAGAGGTGGAGGTAGAGAGACAAAGAACTGTCGTTGTTCTCCTTACTCTCTCCTCCTGGTGTCACATTTTTTTCTTTCCTAAAGGCAGGCATGTAGAATAATTATCAGCTCCTTTTTTGCTGGTCTTTTGGAAGTAGAAAGTGAATGTCTCAGGAAGTACCAGGCTGTCTCTCTCTTGGTTCGGAGACTGCCATCTGCCCTGTGCCCCACCCAGCTCACACAAGCACCTTCTCACTGGTAGTCTGTCTTCGGTCTTCTGCAGTGTGTTCCGGCCTATGCTGTGACCCAGCAGCAGGCCCTGCACTGTTGTGATTATTAGTTAATTGGTAGCTCTTTGGGGAAAATGATTACACACAATATACCAGTTACTTAAAATGGTGTATATTCTTTGAGCTAGGAATTTCAATTCTCAGGCTCTATCCTAAGAAAATAATCAGATCTTCACTACAGAGCTTCCTTGGTAGTAGTGATGGAATTTGAAGTCAAACATTCTCATAAAATCAAAGTTAATTGTATAATATTTTAAATTTTACCATTCTGCTGTCTTCTGCTAAATTCTGTATTTGCGAAGTTTTTAAGCATAAAGAAATGTTCAAGGAATATTACAGTGAAGTTCTGGACGCAACAGCAAACCTCAGCCATTGGTGAGGCCAACTCTAAAGTGTGTCGTATGCTGTCACTTAGAGTGGGATTAAGCCTCCCATTGCCCAGTGCAGTGATAAATTACTTTTTTGGCTTCTTTTCCTTTTCTATCTTATTTTTCTACTTTGTAAGGGGTATTTCCTATTTAATAAACTACTTACATTTGTACACCATCTTCATCCAGAAGAGATAGTTACATAATAGTTTATGGTTTAGCCCAAATCTTTTAGGACCCATCACGCTGGCATATGGTGTGCTTTGGGGAATAGTGACTCTTAAATGTAAAAGGACAGAACTGTCTCACTGCAGCCTAAGCGTGGAGTATTGACTTGTTTCCTTGTTAGGGCATCAGCGTGGTATAGACCAGTGCACAGAATGCCTTTTCCCCTGTAGTATTATCTGATTAAGAGGAACAATGGTAGTGCTAAACTGATCAGAACTTTTAATTATCTGTACTGCTAGAATTGAAATGATGAATTTTACTGGGTGGATAATATCTTTTATATCACTTGATCCTTTTGGCATGTGAGAGATGGTGACTGAGTGAGGGAGCCCACCTCTGGAAAGCAATCCATCAGATAATTGCAAAGAGAAGAAGAGATGTTGAGTCCAGTTCTCAGAATTGTTGGGCTTTCTAGGATTTTCGCTTTCAATTCCTGGCCATGTGGGTCCTTATATTAATTCACTACCCATTTTGTAAATAAAGTCTTATTGGAACTCAGGCAAGCCCATGCATTCCTTTAAGTCTCTCTCTCTCTCTCTCTCTCTCTCTCTCTCTCTCTTTCTTTCTTTCTTCATGATCTTGCTTTGTGGTTCAGGCTTTCCTTGAGTTCATTATGTAGCCCAGGCTGGCCTTGATCTCATGGTGATCCTCCTACCTCAGCCTCCTAAGTACTGGCATTATAGGCAGCGCCACCACATGTGGCTACTTTAAGCATTTTCTCACTGTTTTCATGCTACATACAGAGGCAAAGTTAAAACAGAGGCTATGAAGTAAAAAAATATGTATATCATCTGGCCCTTTATAGACAAAATTTGCTGGTTCATTGAGACTTCTGCAATATCTCACCTTTCTTGACCACTGTAACTTTATAGTAAGCCGTGAAGTCCAACAGTATAAGTCCTCCAACTTTGTACTTTTTCAAAATTGTGTGGTAGATCCTTTGGTTCATAAGCCTGTGCTTTGATGTTCATGCCACTGTGTGAGATGTGTCTCCCCCAAATCTTGTTATGATGTCAGTATATTCATTTCCTATTTGAAGTGAAAAGAAAATTGTGGGGCTCTTTTGTCATTTATATTTCCATGAGTTTTTAGGTTGGCATCTTAGTTTCTTCGAGAAATCTTCTGGGATTTTATTTGGCATTATTTTGAATCTATAGATCATTTGGGGGAGAACTGACATCTTAACCAGTATTAAGTCTTCCACCCTCACTGAACGTGGAATGTGTTGCCTAATATTTAGATCATTTTTGATTTCTCACAGAAATGTTTTGAAACTGTCAGTTCACCTGTCTTATGTATATTTTGTTGAATGTATTCATATTTTATTATATATCTTATACTTGCTTTTTGATTTTTTAATTGTTCATTGCTGTTCTACAGAAATACAATTAAATTTTATGTATTGTCTTTATATCTTAGCCATATTTACTAATAGGTATAGATTTTAAAAATCAACCTTTTAAGATTTTTCTAGATGGATGATTATGTCATCTGTGAATAACGACAGTTTTTTTCTTTCCAATCTGGATAACTAATTTCTTTCTTTCTTTTTTTTTTTTTTGTGCCTTGTTCCTGCTCTTTACAGAAAAACATTTAATGTTTCATTATTAAGTATGATGGAGGATTTTCCAAGATGCAGTTTGTCAGGTTGAGGATGTTGACCTCTAGTCCTGGTTTGTTGAGAGATTTCATGTGAATGGACGTTGACTTTTGTCATACGCTTTTTCAGACATCTTCTGAGATAACTAGATGGTCCCTATCTGTCTATTGGCAAAGATAAACATCAAGCAAGCAAAAATAATGAATGTAATGTACAAAAGATAGGAAAACCCAAGATGCTGGGAACCTAACAGGGGTTCCCTCAGCCCAGTGTCAGAGAAGTACTTTTTCAGAAAGTGATTTTTATTCTTTTAAAATCCACAGTGCTGGGATCAAACGAAATTCCTCCTGCATGCTAGGTAAGCACTCTACCAGTGAGCTACACTTCCAGCCCAAGGAAGTAAGGCTTAAACTGAGACAAAGAGAAAAGAAGGAAAGAGCTAAGTGACAGGAAGAGGGGACACCTGACAGGCCGAGCTGCTTTTCTCTCCTCAGGATAGCTATCTGCATTCCCCAGATCTGCTCTACTAACTCTGTTCCTTTGACTTTCCTTCCCTTCCAGTCACCCCACCCTGTTAGTAACTGTGCTCTCAAAGCAAACACACAAACCCTTTGTCTCTTATGGTTTTATTTATTTATTTATTGATGTATAACTGGGAAGGAAAGCTAGATAGTAGAAAAGATAGACAGTAGAAAGATAATTGAAGAAACATACATGAGGAAGTGTGAAAGTCCCAGAGGCCTTTACTTGTTCTGGTCTCTAACATGCTTTCAGACTTCCTTTTAATATGGCATTTAGATGACCCTTTTGAGTTTCTATTTAGTGTTTTCATCCCAAAGTGTGACACAAAAAGCTCTCCTCCACATCAGGAAAACTTAGCCCACTTAAAGGTTCATCTTCCACATCAAAGGCCCAGGAGAACCAATCAGGGTCAGACTAGGTAGCCCTGGTAATGGTAGGTACTTCCCATTTTAACCACCAGTAACTGATTTTTATGAAAACGGAGAAATTTGCATTTGGTCCTACCTTGTGTCACTCATTGTAACTTCTGGACTTCTCCAGTGTGAAGCCGTGTATCTTAGGTGCAGAGTAGTTGTAGCTGTGTTGCTGTGGCCCCTGTAAGTTCTGTGTTCAGCTCAGCATAGTAAAGTAATGCTAGAACATGGAGAGGGTGCTGAGGCTGGAGGGTGGGTGAATGGGGAGGGTGGTGCCGGCGTTGCTGGGGCAAAAGAGCTGGGGTATTGTGCCTTTTGGGCTGAGGGCCTCTTGCTGTCAGTTGTTTAGATCCTTGTATGGAATGGCTTATGTTCTCGGCTCCTGCCTCTTTTTTCTAGGACTTGCTGGCCTCTTTTTCTCTGGCCTGGATGTCCCTCCCTAAACCAAACATTACCTGGGTATGGTTGCTTCTACTCAAATGTGCCTTATTTCCAGTGACTCCAGCTGAAGAAAGCAGATGGAATGTTTCTCAGCAATTCTTCTTCACAGAATTGTTTACCCCATCTTTGGAACGATCAGTATTTCTTGCCAGTTCATAAATAATTATTTTGCTATGTGACACTTTTTATTATTTTTGCTTCATGCAAAAAAACCTTTTTTTTAAGTACCAGAAATTGAAACCAGGGTCTTTGCACTGAGTGAAATCCCCAGCCCTTTTAATATTTTATTTTGAAACAGGGTCTTGCTAAGTTGCCCAAGCTGGGCTTGAACTTCTGCTTCAGCCTCCCAGAGTCCTGTGATTACAGATGTGGGCCACCATGCTAGCTTATTTCGTTTTTGTAAAAATGCTTAATTCTTTTTCTTGGCTAACAAGTTCCCATCTCCTGCCGTTCATTGATGACTTAACACTGAAACCAATATGGGGCTTTGCCTCAGAAGACTTCCTGGGTAAGATTCTCAACATCTCAGTATATTGAAGTACATACGGGGGAGCCCTCTCTAAATATTTGTTGGATATTTGGATCACCAAGAAGGAGAAATGTGCCTTGGATGAGCAGCATCTTAACCAGAGGGAAAGGTCTTCTGGGGCAGTGCTGTGACTGGGGTGAGTCTTCTGTGGTGCACATATCATACCTGTGTTCCAGTGAAACTGGGTTAAATTCTCAGGGATGTTTTATGAACCAAGGGAGATAAGATACTAGATCTCTGGGTAGGTTTTCTGAGAAATCCAGAAGCAGGAGGACACTTCCTTTATTTAGGCTGCAGCTGTATTTGTAAATAGGAAGAAATAACAAACAGGATTGTAAAATGTCCCTTTAGCAAACACACTTTCAACACACGTGTGTGTGTGCACGTGCACACACACACACACGCGGCACACTGCTGTATATGACATCATCTGACAATAATGTCCAAAGCAGAAGTGTGGGGACAGTGAAGTCAGGCTAGATCTGGTCTCCATTGTTCCACCCTCCAGCCCTCACTTCCTGGAGCTATCATTGCTATGACAGGAGCAGAAGGAAGGAAATGGGGGATTTGGAAAGAATTGGTTGCCAGGAAACCACACTATATGTCTCTCTCCTCTCCTCCCCAGCAAATTATGTTTTAAACTTATTCTTCTGAATAGGTACAATGTTAACAGGGTTTAAACCTGAAAAAGTACTTAAAAGCAAAAAACCAGAAAGACCCCCTTCCTACCTGTCTGCATCATCCAGTTCCTATTCTCTTTAACAAGCAACCACTGCTATTTCTTGTTCTTCTTATTCTTGTTCTTGTTCTTTTTTTTTTTTTTTTTTTAAAAAGGCCTCATTGCTGGGGATTTAGCACAGTGATTCTGCCACCTGCCTCACAAGTGTAAGGTCCTGTGTTCAATCCCCAGTACAAATAAATAAATAAATAGGTCTCACTATGTAGCCCCTCCCAAGTGCTGGGATTACAGGCATGTGCCACCAAGTCCAGCTGCTATTTCTCTTTCTTTCTTTTTCTTCTTTTTCACCGGGGATCAAACTCAGGATCTTGAGCTTGCCAGGCAGGCACTGTGCCACTGAGCTACACCCCTGCTGCTATTTCTTCTTTATCCTTAATATTTGTAAAGCATAAGTATGCCATATAGACATATTTTATTTCCCCTCACTTTTTTTCTACATGGCAGCTTACTGTACACACATATATGGTCTGTGTTATGCATAATTTTCATATTGATTTATCAAGAACTTCCTAGCTGGTAAGGTGATGCATACCTATAATCCCAGCACTTGGGAGGCTGAGGCAGGAAGCTAACAAGTTTAAGGCCATTCTGAGATATATAAAAAGATCCTGTCTCCAAGAAAACAACAAAAAAACCAAAAATCCAGCCAGCCAGCTAGCCAAAGCAATCAACCAAACAAGCAAAAACAGAAGAAGAAGAAAAAAAAGAACTTCTTGTTATCCAGGCACAATGGCACATGCCTATCAAGCCAGCTACTTGGGAGGTGAGGCTGAAGTAGGAGTATTACAAGGTCGAGGCCAGCCTGAAAAAGTCAGTGAGACCTTTTCTCAAAGTAAGAAAGTAGACCCTCCAGCACCCCGGGCCTTCATTGGAGCAGACTGGTGAGGACTGCCCAGCTGCAGGGCACCTCTGCAGCATCCCCACCGTGCTCTCAGGCCTCCTGGTTGTGCCAGTAACCTGGATCCACACTGCAGAGGCACACGTGGTCATAAAGGCCATTGTACTGAGCTCCAGAAGATAGAACAGAAGTGAAAAACTGCAGTAAAGGCACATCAGACCTCCATAGTTGGTAAGTTGGAGGGATCACCATCTTCCATCAGAACTTGGACCATCTTCAGGGGAAGGGCAGCTGGAACCTGCATTAGAACCTCGCAGAGTTCAACCCTTCGGGAGATCAGAGAGCTCAAGTTAGGCCTTGCAGCCAGAATCTCAGGGCTCTGCCATTGGCTAGCTGAGACTAAATGACTTATTTCTGCACATTGCCTACTTTGTCTGTTGTGACAGCAGAGATATACCCTGAAACAGGCTTTTCAATTTTTTTCTTCTTTCTTTTCCTTGTATTTTTAATTTTAATTTTTAAAATTATATTTTTCCCATTCCTCAAATTCTTCCTTTTTTCGTTCTTCTTTTTCCCATTCAGTCTCTTGCTCCTCCACATTATTCTTCATCTCCTTTTTTGTTCCTGTTCTTGCCCTAATTTGGATTTCTTCTTTTTCTTTTCTTCTCTCTTTTTCCTTTGCTCGATTGTCATTAGTTTCAAAGGAAAGTGAGTACAATTTATAGCTTCCCTATTACTATTAAGTTGTTCTATTTTTGTCTTTGTTTTTTTGCACTCTGTCTTTCCCTCTTGTCTTCAACCGTTTCCTAGAGTTCACGTGATCATCCTGTGTCCTCTGGCTTCACTTGAAACCTTCTCCTATTCTTTTACCTATCTATTCTTCTCCTCCCAACTCCTTCTAAGTCCCCATCGTGAAAGGTAAAGTTGCTATATTGAAGAGTTTATTCACTATAAACC